AATACCATAGCTTTTGTAGCCGCAGCCACTCAGTTGAAATGAGGACAAATCTAGTCTCCTTTACGTTTTGTTCATTCTCTACATTAGGAATCGAAGAAGTACAACATCAGTGTAACTTGGACTTCCCCAGGCCCTAGTCTCCCTTTCCAGGCCTCTCAAAGAAAAATGGGCATTGCAGTCAAGGCGAAATCTTCCTGAAGGTTTGTGGATAGTTTTAGAAACTTCAGAAGTCAAAGGACATATCAATTTCTGCAAATGCAGCTGTGTATATCTTGCTTAAAAAGTCATGAGTTGTATTTGTTTACTTTGTGTTATTGCTTTGTATGACGGATGGTTATAATTTATTTTTTCATTTTAACATTAAAATTAGAAAGCAGTTCATGTTGCACAGGGTGTGGGCATTACCGGCAGAGAAAGTAATTAATTGATGTTTTCAATTGACATCTGACAAAATGCTGGCAGTTTTCAATGTTCGGTACAGTGCTTTATTGATTATTTCATTTAGTTTCTGTTTCTAGTTTCAATTCAGGGGCATTAGTAAACAGAGTGTGATTTTTTTTTAATCAGCAAAGGTATTTTTGTTTCTGTTGAAGTCATTCACCATATTAAACAGTCGAATTTCAATACAGTTGTTCACATACCCTCGGGAGTTCGGTTCATGTAGCACGAAATTTCCTCATGTAAGGGAGCATCTCAAAAAGTCAGAATAGTTGGAACATTCTTTTTGGCATATTGGCCTTTCGGCTGGGCACGCTCAGTGTTCCCAGTGTAACGCGGAGTGTTCCGTTGGAATGGCTGCCGTTCCGTGGGAATCATCCATTGGACCATTCCATGCCTTTTTGAGCATGTGTGCCGGATGGAATGTTCTCTCGGAACCGTCAGCTGGAACATTCTGCAGGAGGGAGCCTATGTTAACCGAAGTGTCAATTATGATGGTTCCTGAATCTTAGCGCCATTTGAACAGGAGTGTCATGCAGGATGGTCCCCCTGCTGATTTGCAACACAAAATTGTGGGGTGCCTCAAGACATTCATGTTTACCAAACGATCTAATGGAGCTGTCCAACGAAATGGAAAAATTCCAACTTTTGAGATGCTCCTTAAGGTCTCTGGCTTGTCTGTCGGGTTCGACAATCTGCATAAGTTTCCTCACAAGAGTTTATGTTAATGGTGCTGTTTTGATCAGCTTGTATTGTCAGCCTCTGTCCACCTTGAGCAGAAGCACCCCCTCACTAGTTGAAAAAGAGCCATGTTAGTCGGGAGTGTTCAATTTGCTTGTAACGACGTGACCATAGCAGGTGCGTTTGATGGTCGTTTGTGAACCAGCGCAGTGCAGTTCCGACAGGGGAGCCTCCATTGCTAGGAAAAGTGCACCCTCTCTTGGTCCAGCTTGGGGCTTATAGAATGTATGTAGAGCTTCTTGTGGCATTGTCAGGAGCCCTCTCTCTTAAACCAGAGGTTACACAGATTGTATCTTCTGGCATAGTGTGTTCCTCTGTGCAAATAAGCCAGTATCATTTTTATGTTCTGTTATGTGTAATATTTGCCTTGCGAGCGATTTACCAACTGGATCTGAAAATAGTTCATTCCAAGCTTTTCTGCTAAGCAAATTTGTTCACCAGGATTCTTGAATAGCTCATTGCAGTCAGACTTTCCTGGCTGATTTCTGCTAGTATTGTTTTGAAATCAAATGGGAATGGTTTTTGCTGCAATTGAATTTGCTCTAATTTCCTCCTGGTTTGAATTCCCAGCCTTTACCTGGATCTCTGAACCTTGGCGTTTTGAGCATATTAGTGCAAGGTGGTGGTACTTCTGTGTGAGCTCCTCTTGAAAATAATTTTGATGAGATGATTCAAATGAATTCTATCTTCAATCAGGTCTGTTGAGCAATTGCACTTTTGGTACTTTATATCACTTAATTTGTATGCTGTAATTTTTAAGCTGCAAAACAAAAGGAACTGGTGCTCAAGTAATTACTTCACTATATTTTGGGGAAAGTTTGATTATAAAAAAACTTTGTAGCTGATTACTTTACCATTACTTCTAAAACTTTGCCTTTTTTCATACGAGAAGTGCTTACAGCATTAAGACATCTAACATAAACCTCGGCCTTACAAAATCATTACCTCAATTTTCACAATTGTTCTTTCTAGTTTCTTCAAAGTTTGATAATATATTAATCAAACATGGTCGCAGTGTTTTTACGAGAATATATTCTGCCTCAACACTTTTTGTGATTTAAGTCTAGATTAACAGTAGCTTAATACATGTATTCTGTACTTTCCCCATGTTCAGAGCTCGTCTCTGAGGTCTTGGCTAGGCTTATGTGTTCCGTTGATCAGGCCATACTTACTACCTGAAGACGAACTGCAGCATTACCAAATATGGTGCAGAATCTCATAGTTGTTAAATTAATCAGTCAGAGATTGCGTCTTCTCTTTTGTGATAAGGTAGTAATTGAGCAGGTTTGAACTTCATTCAAGTGAAATTGAAATTTCAAAAAAAAGAAATTCTTTCAAAACAGAAATTCGTGGTGAATGCCTAAATGACGTTTTCATGACTTGGGAAAATAATTGGAAGTTAGCCTTTTTTTCATCACATTATGGGGTGTCTATACCACTGTCTGTGGCTGTCTGTAGGGTGGGATATACATCTTTATCTTTGAATTTTCGACATCTTTATCTTTGAATTTTCATGTGTTACCGACGGCTCTTTCGTGTGGATATCTTTATTTGCCTCTCCTCCTGATAGCTAAAAGCAGTCACAATGAAGCATATTGAACGGTGTAATTCAGTCACTTGACGTTAAGATAAAGTGACTGGCCAGTGCAAGAAGTTTACCTATTAATGCTTTGAGACTTCAATGGAGTTCATTTCTTCAACACATCTCAGGCAACAAAGATTCCATCAGTTTCGTACTTACCGGGAGAATCAATGGCTCCAAACTTCTATATTTCCCTTTTTTTTCCTGGGGGTAAGACTTTATGCCCCCTCAGGCCCCTTTCTGTTCCATTCCTCTGAATCTCTGTACCATTCCACTCTGTCATTTGTTGCCGATGGAGTCGGTTAAACGCCAGTCACATCTCAAGCAAGCACGCTAGATCGTTTTGGGACCTGAAGTTGTTAAGAAGGATTTTAATGGTGGTCACAATAAAAGTGCTTCGGGCCTCTCCTTTTCTTCTCTCATGTAAGCTTAAGATTTAAATGGAATGCAGTATAGAATAGAACATTACATAGTCTACCGTACCTTGTACACGTCAATTGTTTGCGTTAGGAAATGTAGGCTAAAGTTGTGTGTTTATTAAGTGGTAACAGATTTTGGTGGTAAGTACTTTGTTACTAAGATTAATTCATCTAGTATCACTGAGGAGGCAGTTCTGAAGATCTGCCGACATTACTAATTTTTAAAGGGAATAATAAGAGGACCTTTATTCGCACACACCAGCGACAAGAGCGTGTTTTGGTTAAAAACAAATGAACCAAAAATTATGAATACCCCAAACGATCCCAAAAATTGAAAAAAATGAGTTAATTTACAAGCTTATTTTTATTTTTTTGAGCAGTCCAGGGAATTAACATTTTGTATTCTTTAAATAGTATTCTCAGGCTCTCGTGAATTTGACCTGCCTTCGGGAAGCGCGAACACCGCGTCTTAATATTTTAGTGCAGATTTTCCGGACAGCTTTTGCACATGCTTGGAAATGACCAGGACGATTTCATCTTTGCCCGTAATTAAAATTCTTCACGGGAGCCCCTGATATATTGAAACTTTAGGGTGTCACAGTTTTTGAGCTCTGAAATTAAAGAAAAAAGACGCGTGTACTTTTGTAAAAACTTTTAAGTCACAAGACCATTGTGACATGTATTAACTCGGCGTGAATGCAAAACAGTGTGGGTTGACACAGAAATCGAATAGTCCTTAGCTCCCCAGGGAAGCTTAAGCGATGGGGAAATTTGTGGACGTTATCTCTTTCCCAAGTTCTTTTTTTTTTTTCTTCTTCTTCTTCTTTTGAACATTTTTTCCTTTGTTTTTAAATTTGTGCAATAATACGGCGCCACCAAGAGTTTGCAACGCTTTGGCCAATCACAGTGCGCAAAATGTTGACCCGATGCGCGTTTGGAAAGGGTCGACAGATTTCACGTATCGTGGTTGGCCAACGCGCGCTACGTAGCGCACTATTGTAAATCGCCCGTACTGGGGGAAGAGGAGTCCACGTAGGTCAGTGTCCAAAAATTGCCAACACTGCAAATGTGCCGAACCATTAATTTCAGTGTTACTCCTATATTCAGAGAGTAGGCCTACTTTTTGTCAGATTAATTCATGTGATTCAAGTACTGTACAGGGCAAGGCACGCCCACCCAGTCCCCACCCATCCGGTACCCACCCAAAGATCCTTGACGTTCTAGTGTAAGCAAAAATGCCATAGCTGGGGCTGCCCAGGGCTTCAAACAAACAGCCCGTATCTTGTGTATATGGTACCTCATTCCACAATTCTACAGGGACATCGTGAAACTGAAATTACACTTCATAGCTTCACCTTATGTTAGATGATGTCCTGAGGCTCACCCTCAGTATAGTTCTGCTTTGCAGTTCAAAATCAGAATTTGTACTACTTGTGGACTTAATTAAATCCCCCTCCTGGCTGCAGGCTTGGATCCTGTAAAGTTAGTTCTTATGGTGACTGTATTTGCTTTTTATGTGTGTAATTTCATTACTCAAACTGCTGACACATTTTGAATGTTGTATTCTTTTGATTTTCATGTAGGCATTCAACTAACCAATTAGTTTCTTTAAAGTCCTGTAAAATGTGATATTTGATTTGATATGCAAAAAGTCATATCTTTATTATAATCATTCAACTCGTTTTGTATTTTCAACTAATATATGTATATTCCGGTCATATTTATACATTCTGATGACGAATAAAAATACACTGATACTTTCAAAAACATTGCCGAGTTATAATATTTGAGGCATTTGATAGTTTCGGTTTGGGCATATCGGAAGTGTGCTCCAAAGTAACGATACAACGATTGAGTGGGGGTTGGTTGGTTGGTTTGGCGTAATGTAGTAATCTTCATTGGCCGGCACCCTTTGGAAATTTCCCCCTACAGAGAGCTTGGATGGAATCCCACGACTCGTCGTTGTTGTCCCCTCATCTTCCCTCTCTGAATCGAGATGTAAGCGAAATGTGAAGGACTTTGCCCTGTATTTGGCCAAAATGCACCATCGTGGAGCATTGAACTTCAAACGCCGAGTAAAACCAAAATAACTGACGGCAAAGTCAGAGTCCAAAGTACGCCTGTCAATTTGCAGGGCAAGTCGTTAACCGCTACAAAAGGATTCTTGTTTAAGAAAATCCAAATGCGAATTACAAACTTTGCTTGAGAGCACCCATGGAGCCTGTACTTTGGGCCTACTCAAGCGCAACGTGTATTCATTTAAATCAGGAGAATTTCGGCATTGGTTTGTTCTGTGTGATGAGATTCAAAATATTGACACCATGGACTAACCAATGAATTCAAAAGACAGTCTCTGTTTTTCCTAAGAACTTTTAATCAGGTGAAAGCACTGTTAACCTGTAAGGCTGGCGGAGATAGGAAACACACAAGCGTTCTTTTGGAAAGATAAATGTTTCAGACTTGGTAGTCAGAAAACAGTCTAAACACACTATCGTCTATTAAATTTCATACAAAAACAGCCTTTCTGTGAGATCGTGGATGAAATATCCGTTGCAGATTTATTGATAAGGAAATGAAGTTTAGATGATAATGATGAAATGAGCACGAACGCCAAGTGAGAATATTGTTCATGGAAAGAGTTTTTCCAGACACACTTCCTCCCAAACACACACTCCATCAACAATCTTAAATCTTGTGAGTAGCTTGCATTACTGCCGTCCAGTCTTTTTCCCTATGATAACGCGGCGTGACCGACATGATGCTACCGGTGAGTGAACTGACTGAAAACTTGCGGTAGATTTGATAGCTACGCGCTAAGTTCTCAAATGTACCAGAGGAAACGATCCGTAGTATCCTTGATGCAGTTAACTTGTGTATTTCAGAAGAGCGTGCTTACCTCAAAACAAAATTGAACATCAAACAAGATTCTAATCGAACGTGAATACTTCGTGGATTCCATTTTCTACTTTCATTATTTCTTAAATAATATCGACAGTGGTTAAATATTTACGTCAAAATTATTCCAGCCAAGCAAAACTATCTATTCCTTCGCTTATAAACATACCGTTTTAAACGCAGAATATTACATGCAATGTTATGTACACGTCGGCTATTTAGCCTACTATCAAGGCGTGTAGAATAAAAACGAAAGGTGAAATTAAAGCCTTAGTGATTATTCGTACGCTTATTTACACAGCCAGAGAATGTTTTCTAACCCGAAAGCACATTCTTTAGTATACAGAATAAAAATACTTCAATATTAAAATAGCAAAATGCCACCAGAGTACACCCTTCAGTCATTATTATGTTCAACAACAGTATATTGAAACAATATTACAAAATACCTGTTATATTTGCCTTCCTTTCTGAAAATATCGATAGTTTAACCAGTTTATTCGGCGAGTGAAAAATCTTTAACAAGGCCCCTTTTTTGTGTCATTATAAATCCCGTATACCGGTACAAGAGTCAAGCAAAACAGGTGTCTGTCTGAATCCTGTAGGCGACAGTTTGTCGTCTCGTACAAAAATATCTCCGTGGTTCTCATTCAAAATACGGACACGTGAACAGGGTCTCACGCGCCTATAATACTGTACATATTATAAATAAGCTGCGTTGTATTGGGTCCAGGAGATTGAAATAAATATGACAAAAATTGATATATAAAGTACACATGGATACCGTCGACAAATTCGTTATGTTTGAAACGGTGAGATTCAAAATGGCGAGACGAGAGTTGGTACTGTCATTCTAAAATTCTTGTCTGAAATCTCACTTCATGCTTCATGACTATAACACGTCCAGTTTACATGAGTGTTGAGTTTGGCATGCGTTCTCTCACCACAGATCACCATTAATCTCCACTAAAAGAAAAGGTGCCCTCCTATTTTACTCTGTGCCTCTCAAGATAATTTCATCTTGAACCGAGTGCACGTTGGCCGGTGATACCACCCTAAAAACGGCCCGTTGGCCCCTCTGTCTCCTCCTCCTCTCCTTGGGCACAGACAAGCGACTCCCTTGCCTGGATACTGTCCCACTTCTTGTGGTAGCCTTCCTTCCACGCCGACACCAGATTGTCGCGGTCCACCACCAGCCGGGTCTCGCCCGTCTCCGTGTCGAACCGACGGTTGCCTGTGACCAGGTACTGCCCGCCGGTTTTCAGCCTGGGGCACTTGCAGACGTTGGGAACCCAGATGTATTCGCGCCGCCCAAGGTGCACTGTGTTCTTGTACGTCTGTAGGATGGTGGTGTCGAATCGGGTCTGGCCGTTCTCGATGGTCTTACTGAGTATCTCCACGTGCAGGACTAGTATACACGATGGTTGAATAGGTCAGTTTGACTTGTGAACAAAATGATCTCACAAAATTCCCTCCCCATCTGCTGCCAAGTATTAAACGAAATATTTACTTAAACTCCTCATGTAAGGAGGCTCAAAACTGCTGCTTCATGCACCTGCCGCATCATGCTCGGTCGATATGATTGTAGAACTCAAAAATCGCGTTGTAACGACTCAAATAATACCTTTGCGATGATCAAATCAAGACTGGAGAATTTATTTATGTTAAATTGAAAACACCGCACAACTGTCGCTGTTGTAGATTAAGCAATGAGTGACGTTCATTGAAATTTCCGGATAGGTATAATGCACTATAGAATACTCACCAAAGTCGTTCTCGCAGTAGTGGCTCGTCCGTGAACCGCGCACCTTTCTGCACTTCGGACATTTCTCTAGAAAAAAACGATCACAAGGAGGAAGGAAATTTGTCAATCTGTGAAAACGTGCATTTGCAAATTGGTTTCATTTTGTCATGTCAATACTAAAAGGCGGGGGGATCGAAAACATGCACTTAAAGGCCCTTATTTCCAACATGGAAACAAATTGCTGAAATTAAATGTCAAATGGGCCCCCCAAATAGTTGTGCCTTTATTCCACGCTAGTACAAGAGACGAATAAAGCCGAGGGCAGTGTTATGAAAAATGCCCTGAGCATTACAGATAACCGACCATTGATAGAACTATAGATGGAAAGATGAGTAATCCATTGATCTCTATGGCTTTGATAAATGGATGGTTTTTAGATGAGTGTCAGAGGTCCACGCCCATAGCACATCAAGTTCATGCATAGGTATTGTAAGGTTGGGCATCTGCCCATGGTCTGGGGAGAAAATGATCCGAACGCTCAAGTTCTCGCTGACCATTATGCTACGCAATGCCAAGTGCACAGTAGGGATATTAGTATTTTTCACGAGTAGGCCTACCAAAGTTGTATACCTTTCCCGTTGCCTCTGCCTTTGCCCCTCCCTTTCTTCTTGCCCTTGTCCTTCTTGGGCTTCCTCCTGGACTCGCGTCCTGGCTCCCCGTCTGAGCCCGCCTCTGTCTCGGGGTTCTCCTCGTCCTCGTCCGTCATTGTCACGTTGGAGGAGGAGCTAGACTCGGGTTTGGTCTCCGACTCGCTTGCCTCTGAGGGTCGGCCTTGTCCATCTGACAGTGAAGTCGCAACGATGTTTCAGGGATTTTGTTTGCTGTCCTTGCCAATGCCAAACTTATTTCCAACATTTTCATCCGTTATGCAACTTGCGAAAAGTCCATTAAGAAAATAAAAATTACAAAGCAACAAAAACCCCGCCAAATGGAGTAGCAATTCCTGAAGAATTTTTAAATAATACTGATTTGGTTCAATTCAGCGGCTTAAAAAATTACCTGTTCTCTTTTCTTTTCAAGAAAAAAATGAAGAGGCATTATACTAGTCCTGGTGGGCTGTTTGTTAATCCACAAAAGATTTAGAATTGTGAAATAATTAAGTTCAAACTCAAGAAGGGCGCTAGAATCTCGCGTGTACCAGCTCCTCCCTTTTATTGGCTACTGCGCCCCCTGCTGTTCTGGACTCGATAATGCATCGGCTGGTGACAATTACATACACTGGTAGTCATACACTGTGTGCTTTTTTGTTGAGAATGAAAACATACCAGAAACGGTGTCATCTGACAGTAACTGATCCTGAACTTCGGGGTGTCCTTCACCCTGTCTGGGTGGCATCCAATACTCGTATTCTACTCCTGCGTTTCTCTCACGGAAGATTATCTGAGTCGAAGATGAGGGAAGAGCCAACGAAAATGACCAGCAAAACAGAAGGCAATCAAGAAATCGAGATGAGCCATTACGGGTAATTGCGAGGCGGTTGATCTCATGGAGTTTTTTCATCGCGTGATATACTATATGGGGCGTTACCGTACGCACCACACTTCGGGTTTAAAATAAGGCAATGCATTAGTAAACAGTTACGTTTGTTTGTCTGATTTACCCGATGCACCACTGTTCATAAATAATTAACGCTCTCAGTAATGCCATCTCAATAGTCCTTCCAAACATTACATTGCGAACGGATTAAGAATTTCAGCATCTACCAAAATTCTGACACTTGGTCCCTACCATGACTTCCAGAATTTTGTCAGTTGGTCCCTTTATCTTTATATCCTCTGATCCATTTCGGTGACGCTGGTACGAGATGTTGGTACCCACTCCTTTGTAGTCTCCTGGCCAGTCGATGGTCCAGTCCCCGTTCAGCAGAAACTCTCCGGATTCGTCTTTTAGAGCTGGTTAAATAAAGAGAGTAAAGTTAACAATTTACTCATAACCCTGTGTAGATTCATAAATAAATGTAGAGTTTGGGGACACGGTCTCTCCCTGTGTTTGTCCAAGTTCATCATGTTCCATGGAAATAAGTTTCCACATTATTTTCATAAAGAAATCAGCCCATGTGATCTTCAGAGCTCAGCACATCCATGTTAAAATGAACATTGGGGCTGAATTACCACCATGTGGTTTGGTGTCAACATTTTTTCACCATTGAATCCGTCTGTTTTTCAAGTTTTTATTACATCCTAATGAAAAGCAAACCACAACATTCATATCACTTTATACCAACAATGAAATCCCCACAAATTTACTAATTTACTTTTCTATCTTACCAATGAAATTCAGTGTGCTCTTGTCCTTAATGCGAATATTGCTAGCCCCGGCTGGGATCATGATTATGCGGTTGTATGTGTAAAATCCTGTCAAAGAAATAAACAGTAATTTCAAAAATGTTTTAAAGTAATAAAAAGAAACTTATTTCCTCGTATGTCAATTATATCTTGAGGGGAACCGGCTAAACTAAAACAGGTTACGAATAAAAGTACAGGTAGCTTTCAGCCTTTTCAAAATCTATTTTTTTTTCAATTATTTCAACTGATTTAGATTGAAAACAGAAAGTTAAAGAAACAAACAAATGTTTTCACTGACTTCAACCCCTTGGTCACATTGTGGCCACTGCAATCAACCGATCCACTATTGCTCATATAAAATTGTCTGCAGATTTCTTCAGAAATGTCCTTCGCGCGCGTGATATTCCTGTTTTCAATTTGATGGCTAGACTTTCACATTGTAATAAGGTACATGCAGACACGGAAACCTAATCTCTGAAGTGCCCCACAATCATGAATGCCCCTCATTGTAACACATTACTCTGTAGGCGTTCGGGAAGCCAAGTAGGCCTACACAAAGAATTTTTCGACAGGTGTAAGAACAATAAAGAGGTTGCAAAGATATCGATCGCTATTAATAAACTTGCAGCAGACGCTCGTGTACACACTGCAGTCTTTACCGTACTTACGCCATTTTCTCTGAACTGACAACTATAGCAACACCGACAAGGAAATTGAGAGAAAACAGAGTTTATTGACTACACTTTGGGGGAGATTTAGCTCTGCAACATCCATACAGACATGATGGGTCATCGGGACAGAAAACATAAACTAAATCCGTGTGTGATACTTTATGTAACCACATTGCGAAGAAAAAATGTAACCTGCTCTTCGGAGACATTCTGTTGTAATGGAATGACGCGGTGTGCGCCAATTTTTGACCGAGAGTGAACCGGCGACGGGAAATGCACGTGCTCTACCCAAACGTCAAGTGAGCCTGCATGACTGCGTGTATCGACCATGTGTCACTCAACATTTCCAATGAGCTCACAAGAAACAAGACTCAGCTGGACACTGGTAAGTGAATTGCTCAAAGTGACATTATTCAGAATAAACATGGATATTTGTTTCAATTTAGCAAGGGTAGTTTTTCGGGGATGATTTTTCGTAACTATTTCATTTGGACTTTCCGCGGTTTTGTTAATGAGACAGCAAATATTGCGAAAGTGGTGTCACGGTTGGTAGTTTTTCTTGTGTACATGACAATGATTGTTTAACCATGATTTCAGACAACAGTAGCTCATTCATTTGTGATATGACAACACCTGAACGAATAACCTACATGGCTCAAAGTTAAATAGTTGTCTCTTTTTGTTCACTGTAATACGTCGCAGCCACTTTTTTTTTGTAACTGTCAAACTATGCCGGTACGTGTTTATAGCTGGATGCTGTTTTAATGAATGTATGAACCTCTATTGTAAAACTGAAGAATTGTTGCATTTTCAAACTGTGAGGTAGAAAAATCATGACTTTGATACAGACCACGGTTAGTTTAGGAGTAGGGTCGCCAAATATCCACGAATCCCCATATCATGCTTATAAAGGCTACCGGTTATGACCTTGTGTTCGTTACCAATTTGAGGGGGAAAAGTAAACGCCCGTGTCGAGTCACTCTTTCCTCACCCAAGGCCCTGGTGGAACCTGTTCGATTCCCGCTGGGAGCATGTTATACGGATGGGTATTTCCTACACGTGTGTGGGTTTTCTTCTGGGGTAGTATTTTTTGGCTAAGCCACAACGTTCTTCAAAATGCTTTTTCCTTCTCTCTGAGAAGCAGGGCCATATACGCTACATGTGAGAGTAACGTCCAGAAGATTTTACGAGCAACCACGAGCTAGATGCATAAGATGGACATTAATGTCTTATCCGACCAGCTTCCAAGTCCGATTCTGCTAAATAATGAAATTATTTTCATCGGCGTATTTCTTCGTAATAACAAACTGAAATAGGGTTTACGGTTCTCTTGGGAAATTATAAATATTGATTAAACACGTCTGGGTCACGTTCATCAATTTGTCTGTGCTTGGAAACGCCGTCTGCTTCTCATTGAGCAAATTCTTGCGGGAGTTCGCGGGAATTGGCCCTGAACGACAGAATTTATTCAAACCATGATACTGATACCTAGGGAGGTTGCTTTGCAAAGCTAGGACATGAAGAAACCTTTCACAAATACTGACACTTTCCACACCCAGCCCTGCGAAGTGTCAGTCCTTTGTAGACACAAACAGGGTCGTGTCAAGCTGTGACATGTACGAGCAACGCCTTCTAACAACCCTCGAGTTTTATACTGGACCAGATGGGGAAATGATTGTTATAAGTTTTGGATGACTTTGCTGTGAGAGAAATCAGTTTTAGTTTTGGTTATTGGAAGCACAAGGACTGAACTAATGACTAGTTCGGCAAAAGGATACCTTGTCTGAATGAACCGCAGCTATAAACTTAAAGCTCGCAGTTAAATACCTGAAGCTGAATTTGCTACACTGGGATTCTGGGAATTATAAGTGCTTTGAGAAGTGAATGATCATATATCCATTGAGTTGCTTGCTCGCGTAGCATTGAAATGTTAATTTGCAGCTTTTAATTAGTCGTACTTCATTGTCAGCGCTTATGTTGCTTCTCATTAACCTTTGCTGAGTGGGATTTCATTGCAATAACCTCGCTCTGCCGATGAAACGGGGCCTCGGTAATGTTTATGTCTGCCGTCGGCTGCAACAATAGATGTGTGATTTTTATTTCCAAGAAAAAATTGGTTGTCTGCCGTCGATCGGTCTGCAGTCTGGAGGTCTTCTTGACTTGTTTCCTGTCTCGCAAATGTACATTCCCAGTTTGATTGTGAGGTTGTCTTTCTCCGGCTGACGCAGATAAATGAATAACAGGGCAGGCCGTTACCTAGGGAGGTACTTTCCCGTTATACCGTCTGTATCTAGCTGTGATCTTAATAGGGATTGTCATAGGCCTAGTTCAGTTTTGTTTCTCTAAGAGATTGACAAAGTAAAATATTGCAGCTCCATTTATCTCAACCAGAGAAGCATTTCAGTAATGTTCATAACAGGCTGCTTTGACTTTAGGATTGCCTGATTTAGGATGATTAACATGAATCAACAATTGACATGGGACCTTATTGGGTGTAAACAACCACCCTGTCGAATTTACTTGTATATAACATTGTCGCCCTATGTATGAAAATAATGCCCAACCACCGTCTGATTGGAACCGCATGTCAACCAAATCAACAAAGCGTGCTCAAGGCGATTTATCTTGGCGGGTTAAAAGGAAGAAACGAGGACTGAATATTAACCAGTGGATGGATATTCCTCCGAGTACGTCTTGTGCACGTGACCACAGGTCTGGTTTCGGCCGCCACAAACCCCGCAAACATCGTAGCTCGCCGTCGAGTTCAAGTCTCCATCACAACCGACAGCCTACGGAAACGCAAAGAAAAAAACAACGAAACACGGCTGTCAGATGTATTTACAACAAGAAATGAAGAAAGTTGAAGAAGTCTTAAGGTCAACTCTGAGACATCCAGCTGTAGGGTTTACTCATCTCCCTTTAAAAACAGCTGCGGGCTATGGAGGTCCGTGGGCTGAGCTGCAAGTGCTTACTTGGGGACCCTGGTATCGGTGTTGCGTGGAGTGGATTCTAGTCCTACAGCCCGCGCCGATTCACATCATTGATATCACACAGTTTAGAGAACTTTAGGACTAATGCAGGTGCTACAAACATAACTGGCTTGTGCACAAGTTTCTGACCATCTCTTGAGCAAAGATCGGTGCTACTTCTTTGATTAGAACGGCTTTTACCCACACAAATCATGAAGATATAGGTACTAAATGGACTTGATAATTATATCTGCTGGTTATAAAGTTACCAAACGGCATCATGCTTTTTGCTGACCTGGGACCCAAGGTACATGTGATTCATGGCTTGAGTCCGTATAACGTCAAGCATAAGCACGTGCCAGTTTAAAGATGAACTATCGGAAATACTCTCAGAAGGTGACCTGCAGTTATGGAGGAATTTCCAATTCACTCTTTACACTATAAAGTGGCCGCGCAAAGAATGCAACTGTTGTTGTTTTTAATCGGGGTTATACAGTGCAGTAACTGATAGAACCTGACATGTTCCTGACATGAAACACCTATGGCCCACTATCTGAAGTCTGCCAGATTTAAACTGGGGACGTATCGACTACATGCTTCCAAAGGTCTCTCAAGTGGTCGCAAATTACGCATACATGACATTTGATTTGAAAAAACTGTCAAGCACCAAGTGTTCTCACCTGGCACTTGCCATTGATGCACATATCCATGGAGTTACCGCGGCATCGGGTCCCGTCTACCACATGGCGGAAGTTCAGTTCGTACGCTCCGTTCGTTGTCTTACACACCAGATCGCATTCATTTCTATTACCTGAAAATTGAGATTTCACCATATTTAAAAGCTTTAAGAATATCTTGGCATCGTTTAAACAATTAAGTCACGATGATGTACCAACATTGCCCTTCTTAGGAATTGGTACAGCTCACTTGACACGAAGGTGCAGTGGTCGGAGATAGGAGTCCGTGATATCGTATATAACTTGGCAGTGACGCGCAGTTCATAATTACTTGTCATTATGATACTATAGTACGGTGTATTTGGGTCTCGCGTGTTGACTCCGACTCACGTAAGTCTTATGACATAAGGGCCTCGAGTCCAGTCGAGTCGGGGTATTTACCCTGTAAGGCTGGGGGTCTAGCTGTCAAAAATGGTGACTCGAGTAGAAATCGACAGGAGTTACCGACTCGAGTCATTTCAGCTCTTGATACATTCTACATAGTTAGCTGGTGTGACATTGCGGATAATGCTTTCTCTGAACGACTGTGGCGACGGCTAGAAATGTTTAAGTCTAGCTGTTATGCTTCATGGTTTAAACAGACATCTTGTATGGGTGTTAAATATTAATCTTCTCAATCTGGAAAAGAATTGCCGAAACCCTTGCACAGGTGTGCCACCCAAAACGCAGATTTCTGCTTCTGCTATAACAAGGAAATTTAGGTTTTCCCCAAGGTCGCATGGTTTCTGTCGTCGCCACTGCCCCACCCTATTTACCTCCATGTCTGTGAGGAAACAAAGACTTGTATTTGGCAAGGGCCCAATGCTTACCCTCTTCCACCGGCACCCACTCTACCAATGGTTTCTCATTGTAGATGGCGCACTGCATCGCTCTAAAGTCTTGTGAACCGGCTGGGCATGGCTGCGACCGTCGGCATTGGGGGCAACAAGAAAGGGAAACTGAATCATTGCCAAAGGTAATCACGCTAATTGCCTCCAACATTCGGGTATTGAGGCACTCTATTATCAAAAGGTCCGCCATACCTGGCCAAGGTAAGGACAGACATATTTGACAGATGTCACATTTAATTAGAAGTCACAACCTTTGAAGGAAGCACCAGTCAAAAAGTGGAATTATTGGTTTAATTACGGGAAACTACCTCTGTATTTACACACAAGGAAATTTCTGATTGACATCACATCAGACCCGGCTTTGAACATTTTGATCTAATTTAGACTGACTTATACTCCTGGGTCAAGTCGTGCTACAATGACCATGAATTTGCAATTGTCAAAGGTTCAATCGCAGGGGTTGACGTTGTACAAGGCTTGTTTCTGACACCCGATTTGAATTAGCGTGTACATGTACCTTTTCATGATGTAACTCCCTTCTCTGTCAACATTGCATTGGCTTTTCGAAATATTTTCCTAGACCCAGACATAACACTGACAGAGTCAGGATGTCCCCGAAACTGTACGTGGGCAGGCTTCAACTCGGCCGAATTCTAAAATCGGGTGCCGTACACTTCAGTACCACTCATTTACAAGGAATAAGCCTATTTTTGTCAGTGGCACTTATCCAAGAAAAATTTGATTATTAATGGTTCCTAACACGCGGTGATCATTTATGGCAAGTTCGATTTCCCAACACTCGTCTGGAATCCAGGGATCTGAACACCCTTAAATAAAGTCTAACTGTTTTCATTTTGCAAGAATGAGAACAGCGCCCATTGTGATTACTTGAGCAGTAGGCGTGCAAATGTCACATGCTGAACTCGTTACGCCATGGTTCCCCCCTCCCCGCGTGAACACCTCTTTTTGACGCCGTTCCTCTGCACTCACCTTGGTGTTACAGGAGCGATATTGTCTGCTCTCCTCCTCACAAATTTGGATTCCTGCTCTGTCATTTGCTGGTTTCCTATTTGAAATAAAACATGCCTTAAAATAAAAGCTTTCTCTTTAATATTTATATATATATATACACACATGTATATATTACTAGTTGTTGGTTGTTCAAAGCTGCATGAGGTCGCATGCTAAAGATTGATATGGTCTTTCGTACATCAGAAATTCGTGTAGAGTTTAGTCAAAAAACACTATATGGCCAGGATATTAAGTCAGCACCGTAGAACTGTGTTGCATCAGACTTGTGGGCTCGAATCCCACCAGAGGAAATTTGTCAGTCTGTATTTTTTCCAACGCATTTCATAATGCAGGACAGTTGGTTTTGTCGGCCTGCGCGTGAAGTTTACCTGCTCATGCAGTGTCTTGTCCTGTACTTGGCTCCGCCACCACACGTCCGCGAGCACTCTGACCAGTCGCTCCACCGAGACCACACGATGGAGTTCTTGTCCTTGCCGCTTCCCTTGAATCCTCGCCTACCGCGCCGCACATCCTGATGAAGGCACAGGGAAGAAATTAAAACGGCGCACAAATTAAATCGAAGCACGTTGGCTCGAACTAAGAATACACCACTGTATCAGTCGAGTCGGGATTTTTCTGGGACACTGTTCCTTCCCGTCAAATTTCTCATCGGAGAGCAGAATTAGCCAGTCTTCCTCATTAAAATTGGAGCCAAGGCATCTCGTTTTGAATTATGATATCCTTCCTTTTTACCAAAACACTGCTCTTCCTTCAAGGGTGTCTCTCAAGAGAAAAGGAATCAAACATTTTTCTTGATTTCTTCAAGCAGCGCCGAAGGCATCGCCCCATCCCTGACCTTTTCATCAACATCTAGATTGACTGATAGACTTTATATGATTGAAGACATTGAGACGACAATGACCGTCACAGGAATGGGTGTAAAAAGATAGAATACGGGCAAAGAAGAACAAGTGAATCAGTGCGTCTGGGGACAAACAAGTCCTGAAACTTGGGTTGTCAAAATGTGTATGAATAATGAGATTGTGAGTCGGCGGGCGGACGCTTCCGTCGGTTATGGTCACGTGTTCCTTAGTGTTGTTTTTTTTTTGCCGCCCTGGACGCTGTGCCAAAATGAGCCAGTTCGATATTTCAAAAAGCCAAAGTCTTTCGGGAACGAAGCGCACGCGTGAATCAGAAATGGCTGCGCTGACTACCGCGCACCCGTGTAGCTGTTCCCGAATAGCCTTTTTCTGGGCATGCGCTATTGGAATACCGAACCGGCTCGTTTGTGAAGTGATATTAAACAATGATGCAGCGCTCCACTAAATGCAGCATTCCTACTCGCTGAACCAATTATATGCCCTGGGCCAGGACAAAAGGAGTTGACGTCACAAAAGGTATGCAGAGTTTGAGACCATACTGCAGATGACACAGTGAAATCGAAAACATCCCTTCAGTTTCGATTTGATCGGGTGATAAAATTTTGGATAAAATCCAATCCATCTGGAAAAAAGCCTTAGCAACTGACTTTGCATCCGATGGATATTTATACCTTTCGCAATGATACAACTAAAGATAGCCTTAATGCGCATTTTGTACAAAAAGATGACCTTCGAAAAAAAAAAAAAACAACAATAGAACGACTTCTTTTTACAAATTTGCTGTCATTTCAAAAACTTTGTGTTCATAATTCATCCGTAACTCAGTGTATGTAGATGTGAACTACTGACGTAAATTATTGATATAGCTTCAGTCCAGCAGTAAAGACGATTCTGCACCAGTCAATCGTTTCAGCAGGAAGAAAAAGTTTGCTTCTATGTCAATGTCGGCGCGCTCTGAACACGCGTAAAGTGACGTGTGATTTGACTCATCCCGTCCCACGGGGTCTAGGCTGTACGTCAATTTTCGACTTATCATTCGTTTGTACAATCAATCACAATCAAGCTTTGTGTCGGCCAGCACTGGAGCCTAATTTTTCCCATATGCCACACTGCCTCGCCCAGTCAATTACAGGTCACCCTTTCTACCACGAACCGTCCAACTTCATAAATATTTACAAAAATATGTATTTATTTATTCTTTTGTAATCGTAGCCCACAGGATATGTTGAACCGCATTATTTGATAGATTAAGCCAGTGAAAAGCTCGGAAGGGACGTTTGTTTATATTGGTTAGAATCGCCGAATAATTTTGTACTTGAGCTCACCCGAAGCATAAATATTTGGATTTCCAAGCTTTGTAAGCCCACTTCACACTCCAAACCACACACACACAGAGGGTGTCTGGCCGAAAGTTGTTGTGATCGTTAAATTTCATGTTCAGTACTTGTTCCCCCACGTCAGGTGTCTCAATCAACAGGGAGACCTTAAATTTCAGAAACACAACTTGACTTGCCATGGACAATAAATCGAAGCACCCTCGTGTAAGCATTGTTTCATTCCACTAAATAAAACCTTTCTTTTCCATTCACAGTAACCTTTGCCGGAGGCACTCCCAGACCCCCCCCCCATTCCTACGTATAAACCTCCTGATCAAAGGTCCGCAAACCGGTCTCGATAGGGACGGGAGGGCACAAAACTCTCCCTCTTTATCTACAAGGTGGCCCAGTCCAGAGAACTTTAACGTCACACACCTTTGAAAGGCCTCCTGGCGAGGGGGATTTTATAGTTAATTACATTCTTAGGAGTTACAGCTGATCCCCGGCCCATTTAAAAAAAAAAAAAATCGGCTTTATTATATGCTGAACTCTTTCCAAGCCACTCAACACGTTTTGATACGAGCGCAGAAAACGGCCGGTAGCGCCGATTTGCTGCATGCTACGCGGCAGTTCACTAATGTATCGCCCCATGATTATCCCCCGTAAATTGAAATGGGAATAAAAGTGCAACTGCACAAGACCGGTAGTTGACCCCAGCCGTCACAGAGTGATCTTGAGTTTAAACTCCCTTAACCTTTCCAAGTGATATATTGCCCTATATGAAGCCTCTAAATAGGCCTGTCTACGAATCACAGTCGGGGACTGGTCGTGAGAGAAGTAAATAAGGCCAAAGGAGTTTAAATGGTGACTGATAACATCAGTCAACAGTTGAGGGCGTCCCATACCGCCGGCTAGACGACTGCACCGTGACCGATTATCCAGTGGAAGTAGACCTTTTTATTTTAGCCCAGATGTCGTTACCTTTTCGCATCATGCAAGAACCCACTCGATCTTTTCAACCACAAACTCCATCCACGGTCTAGGTTAGTCAATTGGACGCACCTGCCCTGCACTTTGTGAGTAAATGACAAACTCAAAGTGATGGGCAATGGCATTCTCCAGACCGCCTTGATTCAATCAAATATTATTAGGATCTTAATGGCATTACTTTCCAAAAGTGACATTTCAGCCAACGTTACTACAATCATCAAATGCTCTCAATTTTGGAGACAGCCTGCTACAAAGTTGGCCACTGGCCAATAACTGAAGTGATTTCAAACCACTTCGACCAAAATGATGTTGCTGAACGTTTGTTTATAGCATTCTAGCGTTGAGCAAAATAGATTAGCAGAGAAAAAAACCTGCGCTTGTTTGTTCCTGTTAGTTATGAATCTGTCTGTAATATACATCCATGCAAACAGGACGTGACAAAATCTTACTGACCACACTGTGATATCAAGACAGATTGACTTGCGGTTTTGCAAGTCCCCAAGCTTTGAGCGTTTACGTCCAAAGGCTTCTTTGCGATTTGTTTGCACGTTTGCTTTGGCCTTTTGTGCCGATTCTTCGCCAGATGTAATAAACCACGACATTAAATTTATTTATAGTCTGAGGCAGTTTTTAATAGCTCCACGCTGCGACTACTGGGGCGTAACTCCCTCTTTTCCCAAGCAAAATCTTTCCAAAATACCGTGAAATGATGAGAACTTCATGCAAACTAAAATAAAATCATTGATACTCTTTGTATGATGAGCTGCAAAGGTCGGTGCATTTGAGGGCACATTCACCGTCCCATTGTGGGAGGAGGTGTAAAAAAGCTGTTCTGGACAAAATTTGCCTTGACGACCCTTGCAATTGTTTCGTCTCTTTCTGGTTGGTCATTGCGCCTAATTTATTTCGATGGTTACTGTTGTTGGGAAGAGATAGTGCCATTACTGTGAGTATAGTGTTGTGAGATTTCGTGAACAGGAGTGTTGACTCGTCCGCATTGTTGATCCTTGTTTGGCATTGATTTTTCTTTAGATGGCACTTCTTTGTAAAACTTCAAAGCCAATTGCCGACATCAGCAAGTCTTGTTCATACTGGGCCCGCACTGGGTTGTATGTAGTACAGCTTCACAGCGGGAGAGACGGCCGGGGTGTATACCGGACCGGCTGGATGTGCATATGCGCGGCTGTGGCTCCGACTGGTACAGCGCAGTGTTCTATGCAGTAGAGACATCAATCGTTAAGCACCACGTTGATAATACGTGAAGAACGATATCCAGAAAAATCGAGGACAGCCGTGTGAATGGCCATCAGAACTCCTTGTCCTCTGCGACAAAAATATGTTGAGGACCCGAACAGCCGTGTCCTGTATTGTCCCCACAATTCGCCCTAAGCACACTCCACATGCGAAACATACTTTGCGCCAATCAAGTAATTTATCACCTTCAGAGCATAGGATTAAGATTACCCCCACCCCACAGGGAAAGGAGTGGGTCAGTACAACTCGGGGACGATTTTGGCAAAAAGGATAAGTGATTTGGTCTCAACTGGCTGACAGGGAGCATTGAAAAGCCACAGGCTTTTGTTGAACCACAGAGCTACTCTATGGTTGAACAGAGTAGTCGTCTTGGATAATAAATAGCAAACGTCTCCAGTTGGACTGTCGGCGGGATGGCCCTGAGCACGATGAAGACGACCGTTTTTCCTTAAATCTTGAATAAGTGATGATACCCAGGCGGAGGAGGCGGAGGAGGTTGGAGGTATAATAGGAAGTGGTCAATAGGATGGCGTGGAAAACGTGACAAATGGGGAAGCGTAATGAATTCACGAAACGACATATACAATGGCTTGGAAAATGACATTGTCCCCTATTGGGGACATGGCTAATATACATATGTACGTGATGACACGGTGTTCACGTGTTGCACTGAAACAGCACAGCTTCGTACTTTGTCGTCGTTTCAATTTTCATTCTTAAAACCCTGCATTTTTAGAACCTGATGTTTTAGACAGCTTATACGTTTAAAGTCTAACACTAAAGAAGTCAGGCTGTGGTAAATTTATGAAGGAACAACCTCGAACTCGTATCTCATTCGTTATAAAACACACTTCAAATCTAAACATGGTGTAGCCTTTAAAGTTCACGTAAATGGAAGTAGATTTGGGAACGGTTGACCCAATTAAGAACCCCTTCACTGTAGGTAAGTACCGGTAGGTAACGGCAGTATATTGATGACTTATCTGATGACCTATAAAGTGTCTTGAGGGAGTGAGCGCGATGGTAGGGGAGATCACGACTGCTGATGGATGGGATCCATGGCATTCAATATCGCTTCGGGATTGGTTATA